TTTGGCATGATTTATGATTCCTTGGATTATGCAAAGAAAAATGAACCCAAACACAGACTTGCAAGACATGGCCTGTATGAGAAGAAAAAGACATCAAGAAAACAGCGAAAGGAACGCAAGAACAGAATGAAGAAAGTCAAGGGGACTGCAAAAGCCAGTGTTGGTGCTGGCAAAAAGTGAGTTGGAGCCTGGACAACAGAAGGAATAAAGATGCTGCAGTGGCTTTATCTGTGGTGGTTGTGCAGATTTTTCATGAGAGGATCAATAAACTAAGAATGTTAATGTGAAAAAAAAATTCCTTGCAATGAATTCAAAGAATCTGTACTTCAAGAAGTTTGCCTAAATGCAACTCTTTCCTGTTTTCTTTACACATTCCAAATCACAAGGGAGGGGAAAACATACGAACAGTTTTTTCCATGGAATCAAGGATCACAATTACAATGGAACTCCTCTATATATCTACTTTTGGGATTCATTCTGCCATCCATTCTAGCAGAAATAGCACTGAATAATAATACTGAAGCAGGCACAATATAACTTGGGTATTATATGCTGTCAACATAACATCTAGCTTTAAACATCATACTTACTGGAAAACACAAACTCTCCTTACCCTTCTCCTACTGAGGGCCTAATTTTGTTCTTAAACTCCATTTACATAATGCTGAGGACCTAGTACAGAAATGGGCATCTAGTAGGAAAGACCGGTCTGTAAAAAATATATCCATCCATCCAACCATTGTCCATCCATCTGCCCATCCACTCATCCACCCACCTGTCTTTTCATTTGTCCATCCATGCACCCATCTTCATCCCCCAAATCTATTCATAGACTCAGAAAGAAAGGTTTTTCTCACATTTACTCAATGAGAGCTTCATAGAGAGGAAGAGATAAGTCGGTAACTGTATGAAACATTTTAAAGAGTATGCTTTCAGATGAATTCCAAAAAAGGAAAAGAAGAATGAGAAGAAAAGTGTGGATTAATTAACCATAATTTTAATTAATCACTGTTTATTGATCACCCATTTGGTGCCAAGGAACCATGTGAGGCAGTGTGGAAGACAGAAGAATATATAAGAAATCTCTGCCCTCAGCATTCTTTTTTTTTTTCTTTTAAAGATTTTCCCATCCAAGTACTAACCAGGCCCGACCCTGCTTAGCTTCCGAGATCAGACGAGATTGGGCGCGGTCAGGGTGGTATGACCGTTTTTATTTATTTGACAATGAGAGAGAGCAAGCGTGCACATAAGCAGAGGGAGAGGGAGAAGCAGGCTCTCCACTGAGCAGGGAGCCCGATGCCGAGCTCGATCCCAGGACCCTGGGATCATGACCTGAGCCGAAGGCAGACGCTTAACCAACTGAGCCACCCAGGTGCCCCTGCCCTCAGCATGCTTAATAATCTACTTGAAAAGTTAACACAATGAATATACGAGAGGCTAAAAAAAGACAAATGAGTAAAATACTTCAAAAGAGCAAAATGAAATAAGTCACAAGATAATTCATGTCTAAGATAATAAGCTTTATGTTTAGGGGAGGGTTAGGAACTTGGGGCTAGAATGGTCCAACTTAGGGTTTTAAGGTGGAAGCTTGAACCATGTTCCGAATGATAAGATGACAGATAAAAAATTTGGAGGGACCTTAGAAATAATCTAGCTCAACTCTATTACTTTACAGATGATTCAACTAAGGTCAGAGTTAAGTGACTTGGTCCGACTTCTTTAAGTGGGCAGTAATGGCAGCAAAAAGCCTAAAATGCAGGACCGTTGATGCCCATTCCAAGCCCGTACATCACATGGGAAGCAGCGTCTTCTATGCAGGAAAGGAGAAAGTGTCTGGAGAGTTGGCAGGACACAGCATAAGCAAGGGAGCAGAGCCAGGAACTCGTCAGTGTAACCACCAGGTATGAGGACATTGGCGCGTGTGTGAGGGGAAAAGGCATGGAAGGAGGGGGAGGTCAGGGACCAAAAGCTAAGGGGCGTGAATGCAAGCCTGCAATTGACCAGCTGTGTGAAACCCCGAATTCTGGTTTCTGGGACTGCCTTGAAGTCTCCCTCTGACACAGTGGCAACAGTGTAAACTTTTCCAGAAAACTGTTAATCCCTTCCTATTAACAAAGACTCAAGTTCGCCTGGGGGAAGGGAGGGCTGCAGAAGGGAGATGGGGATGAGTACCGGCATTGCTGGTGAACCTACAGGGGCAGGGATGGATGACTATCATTACGCTCTTCCCACCTCAGAAACCCTGATGCAGTAGATTTAGGGTAGGGACTAAGAAGCTGTATTGGTTTTGAGCTCCCCATTGATTTGTGATGATCATCCAGTTTGGAGGGTCTTCTGGTTCATCCTTTTACCACCCTGTCAAATACAGACTAGCGCTTTAGAAAACTCTTTGATGATATTTACTAAATATGTGTCCCCTGTGATCTGGCGATTCCATCCCCAGGCTTAAACCCAAGAGAAACAAACACATATGTTCCCCAAAAGGCACAAATAAGGTTATCCAGAGTAGGTTATTATGAACCCCAAACTGGAAACAACCCAGTGTCCATCAGTATTAGAATGGATACATAAACGGGGTATATTCATACAGTGGAATACTACACAAGAATTAAAAAGAACAAACCATTGCTATGTGCACCAACATAGATGACTCTCACAGACATGATGGGCATAGGAAGTATGATGCCCTTTATACGAGATTAAAGAACTGGCAAAAATAATCTATGTTAACTGAACTCAGAATAGTGATTGCTCCTGTCTCGGGGCAGGTATTAACTGGAACGAGGCATAAAAGAAAACTCCTGGGGTGCCGGAACTATTCTATATCTACATCTGGGTGGTTTACTTATGTTATGAAGACATAAGTAAAAATCCATTGAGCTATATACACTTGTTCACTTTCCTGTATACAGATCGTACCTTGTTGAGAAAAAACAGAGAGGGTATGGGTGTGTGTATTTGCCTTGCCATCCTCATGAGGTTATTTTAAGACCCCAATAGCTTTTAAAAATGAGATAAATAGGTTAAGTGTAGTTTTGTATTATTTAACTAGCTCAGTACTTATTCTTGTCGAAATCGGTTAGATGCACTTGCTGCCAGTGATTCAGGTGATCCATCAGCTTTTTGAAGCCTCAGCAAAGCACAGAAAGTTAGTTAGAGGGAAGCTTATAGTAGGGGAAGAACACACAGTAACTATAAACTTGCTGAGAACACACCAGAGCTGCCAAAGGCTGCAACCGGCTTTGGAAAGAGCCTTTCTGCCGATGGGGAATTTGGTCTGCTCTGAAACTCTGGAAAGAGCCCCCTGCAGCTTCATTTCACATCCCACATCCTCGCTTCCCTCTCTGCCCCCCACCCCGCCCCAAGAAGATGGTAAACACCCTCTACACCACTGCACCCAGCAGCCTGGGGTCCAAAATCTCATCTTCCCATCAGGAAAATTCGCCTCCATCCTGAGATGACCTCGGCATCTGTGTAATGAGCCACAGACCTTCTGCCAGCTCCAAAGTTTGCTCAGCCTGGGTCAACACGTGAGACTGCCCATGGCCACCAGTACCTGGGGGGCTGCTGTTCAGGTGAGAGCAAACTGGGGGCGAGCGGTGAGAGTGGAGAAAGCCCTTCCGGCCAGTACGGTGTGCAGACCTTGCCTCCGGGCTATTACTTTTCCATCTTTGAAAATGAACAGTGTACTTCAGGCAGCTAAGTATAAAGACATGTCTACAAATACTGATAACACTGTCTTTATTCGTCCATTACTCGACAAAGCCAGATCACTTGGGGACTGTTTGTTCCTCTATAAAATGAAAACCCACTACCACATGTATTAAAATGTGGGACGTTTTCTTCAGAGTATAAACTTTCAAGAGCTGCTTCTATGCCTTTCCTGGTACACGCTCAGATCCTCATGTGTCTTTAACAGCATAACATACAGTGGATTTTAAAATGAAAACTTAAGAGTCTCTGGTTCATTGTTCCAGTTTTTTCTTAATTTGACCATATGCTCCATGGTGTTTCGGGAGTCTATTCATTACTGTGTCCACTTTCTAGAGCTCAGAAGCATGCTAGATCTAGGCAGCAATGTGTGTGAACAGCCTGTGGATATTTCCCGACTGGTTAATTCAAGCAAGTGTTTTTTAACATAATAGATGCTTGGTAAATGTTGAAGGAATGAATATGAATCTTTAAGAGTGAATAAATGTGAATTTTTAAGCAACATGTTCACACAAGAAATGCAGTTCACAAATGTGAGTATTGCCCAGAATGAAATGTTGGACTCCCCCACCAAAACAAACAAACAAACAAAAAACCCAAAGGCACTGTATGTGGAAGTACATCAAAAAGATTAAAATTCAAAATCAAACTTGAATGGAACTTTCTCAAGGGAAAAAAAATCCAAATAATGGTTGATTTCACTGAAGGGACACTTAGAAAAACCGGCTCTCTGGTTACAGAGAGCCCAATACAAAATCAGCTGTGAGAAAAGGTAAATGGTCTAAGGAAAATAAATTTCAAAGAAATGCTGCTTATTGTCTCCTCTTGTTTATTTCTGAAAGAATATTTTGAGGAGGAAATTCAGTGGGACTTTTCTGTTCTCTGAAGCCTTTGAATCGTTTCGAAGAAACATTTGCCTGGGGTGTAAACTCTCTTAGGTGTGATTTTTTTTTTTTTTCCCCTCACCAATTAATTTTGCAGGGAGGGAGAAGTTAGGAAAAAGCAACGCTAAACCGATTTGTCTCCAGAAAATACATGTCAATCTTATGTTCAGAGTTTTTTTTTCTCATTTCTCCCCTTTCGTCCCAAGACCCCCTCACTTTTCTTTCTTAAACCGATAACGTCCAATTCAAGAAGTAATCCCCAGAAGAACAACGTGCCCTGAAGGGAATCTGAGTTTGACTAAAACTTCCCTTTGTGCAAACAGCTCTGCCTGCCCCAAGCTGGTGGCTCATTTCCCAAGGCACCTGCCACCCTCAGAGAGAAGGTGACTTTCCTCCAGAACTCACCTGTCCGCTGAGAGAGCCGTGAGTGTGAAGACAGACACCCCCACTGAGGTGAGCTGTATAAAGGGGATCAGTTTGCAGCCAATCCTGCCAAACAGCCATCTGTCGGCCAGGTACCTGCTGGCATCCACGGGAGCACACGTTACCAGGAGGAGCAGGTCTCCCAAGGCCAGACTGGAGATGAACAGGTTGGGCACATTTCGCATGGCCTTCACTGTACAGAAGATCTTGATCAGGGTGATGTTGCCGACAAGGCCTATCAGAATGATGACCCCATAGATGGCAGGGATGACATAGAAGATCCCTGGGTGGAACCAGTCGTCCTTCGTGGGGAGATCTGCACTGTGATTGGAGATGTTGCAGTGCAAGAAGTGGTCCACTTCCAAGTTCAAAAGCAAACAATCATTCAGAGCCATCCTCTAGGTTCTTGTCCCCCTGAAAAGGGCTCTTAGATGTTGTTGCTTAACTTTGATTTTGTAGTTGGGTGAAGATGAGGATAAAATCTATGCTGGGCTCTTTATCTTCTTTGACAAAACTACTCTGAGTACATATACACCATGGCATTCAGAACGGCCTGGCACTATTTTGATGCTGGTGCTGCTCTGGTCCTCACATGACCCATGTAACACATGTCTAAATTCAGTAAGTGAGCAACAAAAAGTCAGCCAGAACTAAACCCACTCTGTAGCAACTCTTTCTACCTCCACTCTAGTCTGAGTCTCCCTGGCTGCAGTTTACTAGCAACTTTTGGCCGCCTATTTTCATACGGCATTTCCTATCTTTCCTGATGTGTAGAACCTGAAGGTTTAAAGTGGGTAGAAAAACAACTGCACTGAGAAAGCCTCACATCCTATAGGCAGGATGCTGTGCGCGTCACTGACTTGAGCAGCTAACCGCCCCTCTGCGGCGCTGAGGCTCTGCGGAGGCACCGGGGCTACTTATAGACAGAGAAGGCCAGCCCCCTGCTGGCCACTTCAGTCACTGCCCAGGAGCCCGCTCTCCCCGCGCCCTCCCCGAGAAACCACCCGCAGGCTCCAGCCGGCAGACGCCCGGGCGTCTTCCGCTTCCGGATGTGGCTCCCGGGGCACTGCTAGCCCTCGGCAAAAGGCGGCGCACATCCTGCTGAGGCTCTGCCCGTGGATGCAGAAAAAAATCGCAGCCCCATTTCTCTTTTCCGGTTCTTTGAATGACATGTTCAAGGTGCTATAAAATGGGGCTGCAACGGAATTAAACGCGCACGGACGCACACGGGATGTCCATGTGCGAGCGGTCCCACCAGCCTTCCCCGCGGCTCTTTGAACGAAAAAGAGGCATGGGCTTTGTGCCTTAAAGCTTCAGTAACTCACATCTGGGAAAAGCCGAAGCAGAACACACACACACACACACACACACACACACAC